TTCCAGCACATGGGTACACCACATGCTGCCCCCCCGAGCTGCTGAGGAGGCTGGTTACACCAACCGCAGGACATCTCTGCAAAAACAGTCAAGCAGAGAAGGGATCTTCCAGCCCATGCCCTCACTGGCAGAGTATATCACCTGTTACTGGAAATGGCAATCAGCTGCCAGGCGATGGTTTTGGGTTCAACACATTGTCTTCATCATGAAGGCACCAAGACATAGAGTCTCTGCATCTGTCTCCACAAGCCCTGACTCACCACGCATCCCATACCATACACCACCACATTGCCCCATGTGGAGTACAGACTCCAAAAAACTGGGTGACATAGTCTAGGATAAGGCAGTTGGAACTAGATGATCTTAAGGTCCTTTCCAACCCAAACCGTTCTATGAATCCTCCTTATGCCTGAGCAATCCCTATCACAGATTGATGGTTCAGATCTGGCCAGATTCCCACTAGGAAAAATAGCTTCTCACCTTGGACCTGGGACCTGCTGGTCAGGTTTAGCCTGAATACTTATTTGCTGTATTACAGAGATGGATGTTGAAAACAATCCATGAAAGCTTCTTTTCAGTAATATTCCGTCTAGGGCTCGGTATCAGTGCAGCTCATTGTACATCCCAGTAAGCATCTGACTGAGATGGGACTTGGATTTCATTCTGGAAAACATCAGAAAGTCTGGGGTTTTAGGTGAAACCCTTTCAGATTTCATGTCATTTCAAAAAGGAAAGGTTTCAACAGGGAAATAGGATACCTAACGAAAAGCTGGATGCTGAGGACACCAATCACCCAGACCTAGTTTAGCCATGTTTCTGAAGGGCCTGTGAAGAGTTAGAGGCATAGTCATAGAACAGTTTGTGTTAGAAGGCACCTCTAAAGGCCATCTAGCTCAACTGTCCTGCCATGGGAAGAGAGACACCTTCCACTAGACCAGGTTGCTCCAAGCCCTGTCCAGCCTGGCCTTGAACACTGCCAGGGATGGGGCAGCCACAGCTTCTCTGGGCACCCTGTGCCAGCACCTCACCACCCTCATCGTAAAAACTTAAATTCAGTCTAAACTTACCTTCTTTTAGTCTAAAACCATTGCCCCTTGTCCTGTCACTACAAGCCTTGGTAAAAAGTTGTCTCAACCTTTCTTATAAGGTCCCTTTAAGTACTGACAGACAGCGCTAAGGTGTCCCCAGAGCCTTCTCTCCTCCAGTCTGCACAACCCCAGCTCTCTCAGCCTTTCCTCACACACAGGTGCTCCAGCCCTCCGACCACTTCTGTGGCCTCCTCCGGACTCACTCCCACAGGTTTGTATCAGCCTTGCACTCAGGGCTCTGTGCAAAGGTTCTCTCTCCCCTTCCCCAGCTGTCAAAGGGGAGTGATTTTGACCTTGTTAGATGCGGCTGTGCAGATGAGTCAGTACTGATTACATAAGCGCTAATTAGAACCTGTTGATTTCTCCTTCCGCAGAGGCCTCAACACAGCAGCACTAATTAGCAGGGTGAGCCCGGGTGCGCCGTCACCGCGCTCAGACTGCACCGCCTGTGACATCTGCACGGAGCAGCAGCCCATGGTCTTCACCAGCAAAGGTGTAAGAGCGCACGTTTCTTTTAAAGAAGGTAAAAGCACCCCATGACACAGACCACGCTCTGCATTTCGGGCTGCTGCCCATCTTGCACTGCAACGAAACTGCGTCAAGCTGGGAAAGACCCAGCTGGATGCTCTACGCTTACCTGCACCAGAAACAAGGGTAACTGCAGAAGTTGTCCTTCACCACTTCCTGGGTGCAAGTAAGTTTGCGTATAGAAACTTCTCTGTTCAAAGAAAGTAGAAAACGGAAAGCCCGACGTCTTCACCATTGCCTCCAGTGCTCAAGGACTTCCTCAGCAAAGTCCAATTTCAGCCCATGCTCCTCTGTCCTTGGTTGAAGAACAACATGAGGCTGCCTGGTCCAGATGCTACAGTGCAGCTACTGCAGACACAAGGGAGCAGTGAAAACACTTTTCCAGCTTTTTTTCTTCTGCAGCATGCCCTCACCAACCCTTTACAGAAGCTGGGAAGAAGCGCAAGGCAGAAGGCTCCACAGACCCAAAGTGGGCTGCTTCTAGGCCTTCCTGTTGTGGAGTTAATCAAGCAGGGACAAACTTTGCTACACACAGAAAAAAGAATAACAGGAAAAATAAGGATCACACATCCATTTTCTGCCCACAGTCCATCCTCCACTTGCTGAGCTGCACCTGCCCCACCACTTGCCTCATCCTCTGTGTTTCCGTGCATGGCAGGCTGGCAGATGAGCGGCTCAGTCTCTCAGGCTCAGAATACTGGGAGGTTTCTCAGTATTTATGCAGTAAAGCAAGGAGCTGGCCAGATGCACAAGCAAGGCAGGAGATATTTCCGGACCAGCACATTTTAAATCCACAGAAGTCAACAGGAATTTAACTTGGCTTATGGTAGTTAAATTTTACAGCATCACAGGATGGTTGAGGTTGGAAGGGACATCTGAGGGTCCCCTTGTCTAACACCCCAGCTCGAGCAGCTCACCTATAGCTGGTTGTTCAGGACCATGTCCAGGCAGCTTTTGAGTTTCTCTCCAAGGTGGGAGGCTGGTGAGTAGTGCTTGGTCACCCTCACAGTGAAAAGATTTGCTCATGTCCTCAGCGGGAAAAGGATCTTTGCATGGTCATTTTTGCCAAAGATCATCTCTTAAAAATAAGACTGGACCCTACCAAGTGCATATCAATTTATTTTTTTTTTCTAGCCAGGGCCAAAGAACTTATTTCCTTTGTGACTTGCCTTTTAATCCACAGACCATTTATCACAACCCTCCAGAAGCCTCCAAAGGATCAGGGCAGGGTCTAAATTCATCAATTCCAGGCAAACAGCAGCTTGCTAGGTACCGATTTCTTGCTTCTATACATAACGCAGGGCTTCCAAGTCTGCCCACCACCATGTTTCAGGACTGTCACAGTGAAGAACCTAACCAGAGTGCCAGCTCTTAAGTCAGATCAGGAAGCACGACGCTGCCCCAGTCACTATTAGACTCCCACTGCTGGAAGGTGCCATCCCAAGAAGCCAAGTGAAATCTGTACAGCAAAGGATGAGCAGTTCACACTTGACTACACATTCCATGAAAACCGCAAGGCTGCTGCACACGGCTTGTCTTCAGATCTTATAGGCAGAGAGAGGCTTGGAGAAGTTGAATAATTTATGTTTCTTACTGGATGAACCAGCAACAGGAGAAAGGGAACAACTTATGTTGATGAATTAAAACCTTCAGCTGTTACAGAAAATGCAAGAGCCGTACATGCTGCTTAGTGCTGAGTACATGAAGTCTTGGAAGCTCACACTGCAAATCATCCAGTGAACTTGCACTTGCCTTTAAGCCCTCCTGAAAAGCCTCACCTCTGGAAGGTAGAGCCTTGATTATCCCAGGACTACCAAGTTGCACATTTCCTCATCCACCCCCTTCAAAGCTTTAGCAGCTGGCGCACCTCAAGCATCACTGCAGCAGCTATTCCAGGCTTGAGACTGATCACCAGAACATGTGGCCACTATTTTATGAAGAAATTGAATAAATGGGTTCATTGAGGTTTCTGATATTCCTGAACTTCTACCATATGCTGCAGACCATGCAACATCGTGTCCGTGATGCAATGCCACAGACTCTGGTCATCTGTGCCTCATGGTTAGACAATGAAGGGTACTAGCAAACAGATGACCTCCAGTGGTCCCTTCCAACCTCAACCATTCTGAGATGTACATTGTTACCACGCTCACCAGGTCATTTCTGAATCCTCAGCAATTTCATTATCAGCCAAACCACCCTTGTTCTAGCATTGCAGGTTCTTGGGAGAGAAACCTACTGTACAGCCCTGGTTCTGAAATCAAGGCATGTACTGTCTTCCCCAAAGCAGCACTCCAGTTCTGCTAACTTTGGTGTTCCATCACACAGGACAATCATCCAGCCACAGAACCTGTATTTGGCACAGGGTATGAAAATTCAGGTTAACAGAAATGAGGGGTTTAGACCATTTGCTACATAATATGAGGGAACGAACCCTTGTACAAGAAATGAAGAGATGGGACATGCTGAATTTCTATCTTTTAGCAGAGACCAAAATGCAAAAGCTAATTCTCATTGCAAAAATACCGTGAGTTTCCTTACTCCTGTCAGAAATTAAGTTTTTGAATGGACACAAAAATGTTTGAGAAACACTTGTTTTAGTCAACCGAAATCAGCCTTATTTGGTTTTGTTGTTGTTTCGGATTTAGCTTTAAATACAAAGGAGGTGGACTGCCCATTTTTTAAATAAACAGTTGAAGTACTTTGTTTCCAGACTGATGGTATTAAGGCTTGTTAAGCCTCTGGTCTAAAAGCCAAGCAAAAACTTGCAACTGGTTAAGGAAAGCTGCCCAGGGCTGGGCTGGGACCCTGACACTGCACACATTCGGGAGACCACTTGCCTCTGTGAGTGCTATCCAGATGCAGAACAGCAATGCATGATAAATTACCCACAGCAATTTGTTCAGGACGTGCAATTTATTTTAAATGACATTTTTGTTGTCTTAGCAAGTCTGCACTTGTGACCTGGATAAATGCACTCCATCCCGACAGCATTCCTAGTTACAAGTCCACGTGAACAGTCTGTAGCGCAGGTGTATGCTGGTCCCTCGGGACAGATCCACACACCCTTTACTCCACGACTCTTAACAGTGACAGAGGAAAAACACAGTGCAGGTTGTCTGAAAACCCAAGCCTTCCCTTCCAAACCAAAGGTGTCACTTGTGTGTCCTTGCCATGAACAAAGCACAGCTGAGCCACTTGGCCAGCCCGGAAGCTGTAGTAGCCAAAATGGTTGGGATCACTTGCAACCAACTTCCCAAGCAATAGTCAAACAATCCATTGGCTCCAAGGATCTCACACTTCCTCTTAAGGTCAACAAGTGAACATTTTTCACACACACACAAGAAAAATGGAGTCACCAACAAAAAAATAAAAACCTGAACATTTAAGGTTTGCAGCTATTTTATTTACAAGTATACATTTAACACAAAGAAACACTGATATCCAAGCCTAGTTAATAGTAGTGTAACAATATGCATCATTTTGATGATTATTCTAACCAACAAACTACACTGAAAAATTAATGCCAGTAAAATTCTTGGTCATAATATTAAGAAATACAATATATAAATTGAAAATATGATTGCTTAAAATTTGAAAATGGAAGTGAAGCCATTTGCACAGGAGTCAGAGTTTAACATAATCTGAAGGGAAAGGCTCCAAACCAACTTTTTATCTTTCAGGTTAACAGAAGAAAAAAAAAATAAAATTATAAAAGAAAAAAAAAAAGGAAAAAAAAAAAAAAAAAAAAAAAGAAGCATAGTTTATCCTTAAAGATAATGGGCAGTTTTGCTTCTTCAGGTAGAATGTATTCCCAGTGTTTTCAGGCTTTGCAGTGGAATTACATTACTGAGCATGAAGACTTCCCTTGTGAAGCTGCCCCATCGATTTTTTCTGCCTCCAAAATTATCCTCTTAAAAACATCCACGGCAGTCTGCAAAGAGAGAGCACAATGTTAGTAGGTGAGAAGAAACTGCCCACCTGCTGAAAAGACAAGTAACCCACACCCCCCCACAAGCAACAACATTTCAA